GGGAATAAATCTAACAAAAGAGGTAAAGGACCTATACAAAGAAAATTATAAAACACTGTTAAAAGAAATAGAAGAAGACACAAAGAAATGGAAAGACATCCCCTGCTCATGGATTGGAAGAATAAACATTATTAAAATGGCCATCCTACCAAAAGCAATATACCGATTCAATGCTATTCCAATCAAAATTTCAATGTCATTCTTCAAAGAAATAGAACAATTATTGATGAAATTCATATGGAATCACCAAAAACCCCGAACAGCCAAAGCTCTACTGAAAAAAAAAAGAAGGAAATGGAGGCATCACACTCCCAGACTTCAAACTATACTACAAAGCCATAATCATCAAAACTGCATGGTATTGGAACAAGAACAGACATACAGACCAATGGAATCGAATAGAAAATCCAGAAATAAACCCACATATTTATGGTCAACTAATCTTTGACAAAGGAGCAAAGACTATGCTTTGGAGCAAAGAAAGTTTGTTCAATAAATGGTGCTGGGAAAACTTGGTTGCTACATGCAAAAGAATGAAGCTTGACCACTACCTCACACCATACACAAAAATCAACTCAAAATGCATTAAAGAACTAGACATAAGACCTGAAACCATAAAATACATAGAAGGAAATATAGGTGAAACACTACGTGATTTGCATATCAAAGACATCTTTTCATAGTGTTTTAATTCCAATGATTACTTGTGTTTTATCATTTAAACTTTGTTTTCTTTTTCTCTCTCTCTTTATGGAGCTATCTATTATTAAACTCTGTTCAGTAGGAAGAAAAGTGGATAATAATAGGGTACATTTTCTTGGAGTCCATCATATCTAACTAAATGTCATGATTATAAAGTTGGAACAATTGAGCTATGCATTTAAGCACCATGTTCTAAGCCATTCAGCATTTCATAGAAATCACAGACTATACATAATTAAAAAAAACAACAACAACTAAATAAGGTTATATTAATGTCAATTATTTAAATTTGATTCTTTGAAAAAAATAATTCTTAATTGAGCTAATAATTTGGATGCCCCAATCAGGTATTGCCACAGTAGTTCACCCATCATCAAATCACCCATAGTCCACCACTATAGTCCAGTGTGCTTCCTTCCCTCTTTGTTATTACACCTTCCCCACTCCCTTTCCCTTCTAAATGCTTCACTTCTGTAGTGAGCTTTCAAGGGTTAGTTGGAAGGAGTAATGCTAAGTGAATTAACTCAGAAGGAGAAAGATTAATGGTGGATGGTGTCACTAGTATGTGGAATATCTCTATATTCCACATACTAGTATTAAACTAAGAGCCAGATAAAGACCAGCTTAAAAAATAACCTTAATTCTCGAATCATTTTGTAATCATTTTGTATCTCAATATTACAAAAATGGAATATATCTTTTCTTAATGCCTTAATTTAATAAGCTATACATATTCTATAGTGCTTAAATGACTTACATAGAGCTATGCAGTTATAATGTCGTAAAATTTATAATTAAACTTTTGAAACCTGTCATATTTCTGAATTTCAACTAACTCATTGATAAACAAATACAGTGTAGAAGTAGGCAATCTTAAAGCCTCTTTCAGATAGTAAATGTAGAGTAGACTATTTCCAAAAGACATGTGGCATAGTTTGTCCATCTAGTTATAACATAGACAACTTGTGTTCCTCTGAAATCCATCATGTGTATAAAGAGCTGATTGTCTATCCTTGTGAGTTACTTTACATATTGTATTTGCTCTTTTAATAGTTGCAAGCTATTCATCTATTGTTTTATGAACATACCGTTAATTTTACCTTCTAAGTTTTGAAATAAATGTTAAATGAATTGACCTTAAATGATACTGAGCCCACCCCTTGGGAAATGAAATTCAAGAGCTTTCCCTAATACGAATATGGGACATTGATTCAATCTTTGAAGCAATAGTCTCAAAAAAATAAAAGATACACATATCAAACATGGATACTTTAGTTACAATGCCATTAACTAATACCAAATGAAAGAGGTTACCTGTGTAATAGCAGAATGTATTGAAAACCTATTCACAGTTACTGAAAATACTGGAATATTTTCATCCCAGTAAAAGACACGAAACAGTTTTTATCAGAAACCAAGGAAGATTATTTACCACAGTATTACATATTAAAGTCCATTCCAAAGGAAAGTAATTTGTAATAGGATCTTTTTTAATTTTTGGAAGTTGTGAAGATAATTCTTTAATCTGTGAAAATGGTTGGAATACTAATAATGATTTCAAATTTAAATTTCATATATAGACTAAGTTATTTTAGAAAGAAATACCTATGGATTTCTAATCTCCTGAGCTATAAAAAAATGGATATTTAAGAAAATTAAATAATTTAAAATTTAAAAGACTAACATGATTCAATCTATATGTAAAGCACAAGGAGATTTCTGAATTTGAATTTTAGTAGTCAGGAAAGAATATGATAGCATTATGTGACTATTATACATACTTTCTGGAAATTTATAATTTCTAATATGAAATGCTATATAGGCAAACATTGTAAAAGTAGGTGAATGCTTAGAAAAAAATGCAAACAACTTTAAAAATACAGATTAGAATTTTACCAATGAAAAACTAAATATTCCTCAGCCAAACAAATGGTTCATATAACCTACCTGATTTTGATAAGTGAAGATCAGGTATCATTTTTGTCATAATCTCTATTATACAAATAAGAATGTTCACAATCAGCATACTTACTATTTTATAAATTAGTAATCATGTGTTTTTTTCCTCAAAAATTTGACTTAGGTTGATTTTTTCCTGAATTTTTTTAGCAAAAGTCCCACTAAGTTATCTTTAATAAGTTCTATCCATAAACCTTACATCCAATATATAGGTCAGCATCACATACACATGCACACACAGACACTGAGTCACATGTGACAAGTTGGGAGCTTCTCAAGGGACACCCCATTCCTCACCAGCCATATAACTGCCCAGTTACCAACTGTGTACCTGCCAAAATGCCAGCCCTGCTCCTATTCCCATCAATCCTGCAGGAGATCAGGGTATGGACTTTGGAAATGCCGCCTTTTACCATTGAATTGGTTATGAGCACCATCCACTGGCTCAGAAATTACTCCTCACTGATCCTCTTACAAAACCACCTTCAAGGTAATTCCAAGAGCTTATTACATCACCTTTACTGCAAGTATTTAGCTTTGACCCGCATTATCTTCTGAACCAGCACAGTGGCCTCCTAACCAGTTGTGCTTCCCTTCTTACTTACAACATAGTCGCCACAATGCTCTTTCAAAACATAAATCAGATCACATCTCATCTCCCATCAAAACTATCCAGTGGTTCATCACTGCAAGGGAGCAACTTCTCATAATAACTTATAAGGGCTTAAAATATCTGGTCTTTTGTTACTTTTATGACTTCATCTCCTCTCATTCCCCCCTTATTCACACTTCTCCAGGGAAGCTTAGCTATTTCTAAAACCCATCAATACCTACTAATATAAGGCCTTTTCTCAAAATTTTTTGGACTAAAATGTTCTTTAGTCATATATCCTACATGCCTCAGTTCCAAAACTCTTTCAAGTCTTTGCTCATATATTATCTTCTGAATATATAACTTACTGATCTTTACAATCTTTTGCCCCATTATCATCCAGGGTTCCTCAATGTCCTGTCTTTTATTTTTTAATTTCCATATTACTTATATTTATTCAACTACAATATAATTTAGTCACATATTATATTCATTATCTATTGTATACTTATTCTTGATATACATAAATTTTCAGAGGGCAAGTATTTTTTACTGTTGGACATTACTGTAATCCTGACATCTAATTCCAGTGTCCATCATAAAATAAGTGCATACTTTTTAATAGAAGCAATGTTAATTGTAAAACTTTTTTTAACATTAATTTTTTTATTTATGCATACAAGAACTGGGGTGTAGGCCAGAGGTGTGTGAGGTGGTGAGAGGATTCACCAGAGACAGAGTGGAGAGCAGAACAGGTGGATCTACTGAAATAAATAAACATCTCAGTGGAGCAGTGGGCAAGGCAGAAGTCTGCTGTGCCATGAGGGTTAGTTCCCTGGCTGGGAATCAAACTCATGCCACAATGGCTGGCTATAGTTTGATAGCATTGAGACTCTAACCCCTGTGGCACCAAGGAAGCCCATTAATTGAAAACTTTTAATATGCATGGCAATAGTATATTGATCTTTAAAATTACCCTTTATACATTATTCTTTTCATCCTTAATATTAAATTCATGACAAGTTCAAATATTTTTACATCACAAATTTCCCATTTTCGTCAACTTCTATCTCACAAAATGTTAAATTAACCTTCCAGTTTTCTCTGAGCACATCACATACACCTCCTCCTTTGCCTGTGTCAAATTTCCATCCCCAGCTGCTCCCCACACCATATCCAAACTAATTTTTCTTTGTTGTTTGTAAACAAATATCTATTCCAATAGCATTGGCTTATAACATTGTCAATTTCAAATGAACAACATTATAATTCACATCATGGTTGCCACCTAAATTCTAATTTCTATCATCATACAGTTGCCCCATTTACTCATTTTATCCAACAACTAAACCCCTTTCTATCTGATAACCTCCAATCTATTCTCTGCATCTAATAGTGTATTTTTGTTTTATTTGTTCATTTATTTCTTTATGGCCCACATAAGAGTAAAATTGTATTTATATTTCTCCTTCTGACTTATTCCATTTAGCATAATTCCCTCCCATCCATGTCACAAATGGCAAGACCTCATCATTTTATAGCTGAATGGTGTTCCATTATGTATATATATTGCATATCTAATCATCATATCTCCCTATTTAATACCTTCTAATGGATTACCATTGAAAAAATCACTGATCTATAAGCATCTTCTGCCATGCCCTTCCATCTTGAACATATACTTATATGAACATATACATATACAACCACAAGTGAGCATTTTGTTCTAGCCATAAATAGACCTTACTTTTTTTCTATGATTGTAATTTCCTTTCACTTCAGTATCTTCCCACATACATGTCTCCCTTAATTATCTTGATGAACAAAATTTCCTTTATGAGAAAGAGAACACTTTCACTATTATTGTTATCATTGAAATTGGTTTTGATCTTGTTTAGGCATTAGATATCTCTCAGCCTACATAACATAATTTCAGGTCTTTCAAAAGGCCTAATTGATCCAACCATTACTGTTTGAAGGAATGACTCACAGGAAGATTGACTATATGGAGAATGTCTGTTGTTTGTCAAAAAATCATTCTACAGGCAGATCTCATTGTTACTCTGATTCTCTCTAGACTTGGAAATTGGATAGTTTATTAAAGGGTCAGTAAAACACTAGGACACAAACTTTAATAAAAAATTATATATAAAACTCAACATCTCATATATTTGCACACACATTCACAATTTGAATTGATTTGATGAATGAGAGACTTTGCTATATAAGAGCCCAGTTTATTACTACATGTTCATATGCATCCACATTCACAAATATAGAACTGCTACTCAGGCTGAATGTTACTGCCCATCCACAGGATGCTTACCTTTTGATTCTGAAGACAAACTACATTTGATTCTCTGACTTCTTTCTCTGTGTTTGTTGTTGTCTGAATCCCCTTTATTACTGAAAGATGATTTATTCAGTTAAAGTCAACTTTTGTCATTTTAAGGCATAGGTTGCAAACCAGCTATATAGGTAAGATAAATGTGAAACCCCTTGGATATAAAGTTGGGAACACAGATGAGAGAGAAAACCTGAACACATATACCATTACATGAGAGAGCAGAAGCTAACTACTATCTGGAATGTTGACGAGCATTTGCTATATTATCTTATGTCTCCTTAATTTTTAAGAAACACCAAAAGTTTGGATTATTTTTCTATTGAGGTAACATTGGTTTATATCGAAGTTTGTATACTGAAAGTGTAGGCTCTCCCCTCTCAGGTGTTGTTACCACATCACACCCACCACCAAGATGCCCATAGTCTACCTGTGGTCCATTGTTCTCCCCTCCCCACCATGCTTGTGCCCCTCTTTATATCTTCATAATTTTAAAGTTGGTATCTAATTAAAAATTCTTTTAAACTTTTTAAATCTATTCCTCAAACTCAATTTTGCAGTTTTTGCATTCAGATGAAGGTGCATTACACCTCAAGTGTCATGTTTACTTAAATTGTAAATATCTGAGGTGCCTTATTTGCTTTATCTCAGATCATTCATATAGGGAAATGATATAAAAGTCCCCCCTCTTTAAAAACCAATACATTTTTTTTTGGTTACCGATTAATGCCTGAAAATCCATAATTAGCATTAAACACATCCTTAAGGCTATAAAATTTAGACATATAGATTGGATAATATATTAAACTGTTGCATAATTTAAAGATGCAGAAGTTAAAGACTTTTATAGGCCATCAAATTCAAAGACTTTGTTGGACATGTTATATAGTTTACAGAGAAAGTGAAGGAAGGTCTTAAGCCAAGTTTCTGACTCCAAATTTAGGGTGCTTTCTAGTTTTTTATGATATATTTTATTACCTCTTACAGTGACTGAAGGTTTTTAAAGCCAGATTTCCTTTTTTTTAGATTTATTTTTTTTTATTTATGCATACAAGAACTGGGGTATAGGCCATAGGTGCAGGGGATGTGAGAGGATTCACCAGAGACAGAGTGTGGAACAGAACAGGCAGATATACTGAAATACACTGCTGAGGGGAACAGCAGGCGAGACAGAAGAGGTCTGTTGCACCATGTGGGTTAGTCCCTGGCCAGGGGTCAAACTCGTGCTGCAGTGGCTGGCAATAGATTGATAGCATGGAGACTTTAACCCCTGAACCACAAGGGAGGCCCCTGGTTTTGCTTTTTATGGAGAGAATGTGGTCATTCATAAGAAATAAGTGTAAAGAGGACTGAACATGCTAAAACATGAGTGATAAGATAGATGCCTCACAATATTGAGTTTTCACTCCAAACACAAGTTTATTCTTGTTTTTTAAAAAAAAAAAATGTCTGAGAATTACATACCTTCATTTCTTTTTACCCAATGAGTATATGTAATTCACATGATCCTAATATATGTAAATACGGTTTTATGATTACTCAGATTGAAATTACCTGTTCGTCAGAATAAGTTGTAGATAGAGGCCTGAAGTTTAATCAATGAATGGGTTTGGGACTCGTATACTTTCTGCTCTAAATATAATTTTTTCTTTGTTCTTTGTATTTCTCTATCATATGTGTTTCTTCATTAAAAGAATACTTATCAAGATATCTTGTAACATTAATAAGTCATAGAATTTATCAGTGTTCAACATTTGCATAGTCATTATTTGACTTATATTTCTTGGTTTATGGAGACTTAATATGATTCATATTTTGTGAACCAAAAATGTAAATAACATTTTTATTTAGTGTCTCTTTCTCTCTCTCTCTCTACCTATCTCTCTCTCTCTCTCTCTCTCTCTCTCTCTCTCTCTCTCACACACACACACACACACACACACACATACACACACACAATTTCCTTAGGGTATTTTGACATCTTTGTTTTAGTTATATTAAGAGATAATTAACTTCAGTCAGTGGACCAAATTTTCTTTGTTGTACACAAATTTGAAAAAAATTCACAAATATGTGATCATTTCAATTTATCCTTGTGTTAACTGTATTTCTTAGGGCATTTTGCTAAAGATAGAAAATTTAATAAAAGGAATACTCTGCCTTCATGGCTAAGTGCTTGAACTCCCCTTTCACAGGTTTTCCTCTTTCCTTGATTTAAAACAAATGTCCCTAGTAAATAATATATTTAGTTTACTGAAGCTGGAATGTTGACAAATACCCTACAATCCACTGCTTTAAAGGACTGGTAGTTTAAATTACTAACCTCTAATTTTGTTACAATCAACCTACCAATTTTTCTGTAAGATTTAAGTGTTTCATTTATCCAACAAATACATCTCTGCAAAAAATATTGCCTAAGACCTCAATACTTTGTGTATTTAAAGAGCTTAATAGGAAAGAAATCATCTGCCTAGAAAAAGCAGTCAAGATGCATCTTCTATTTTGTGCAACAAAATGAGTAATGCCTTTTGCTGTTAGCGTAACCACATGTCTCTGCAGTCTCTTCCATTCCCAGAACCTCTCCTATTTTCCCACTTTTTTTTTTATTTATCTGACTGATTTTAAACCTTTCATAAATTGTTCATTATATCAAAATCCAACAGGAACAAGGTCCACTGTCGATCCAATATCCATTCAACATGAGTTCCTCTTTTAGTGGTAATACTAATGGGTCACAATTCTGGTCAAGCTGTAAGCCATAAAGGGAGATTATTTTCCATCTACGGAACTCATTATAAAAGGCTATTTTCACATATAGTCATAGGTTTCTTGACAGTAAGACCATCCTATTGTGTCATATCGCCCCCCACCCCTTCTTCTTCAGTTCATCTCTCTTCTGTTTCAAGGATCATTGAGCATTTAGTGTATGATGAGTCACTGAGGACAAATACTTGATAATATCTTCACCCTGCTGCTCTTATGTTCCAAGAATCATTTTGTCACTAATGATTCATAACTTCAGGTTGAATTTATTGGGTGTGACCATTCTTTACCACATATTCTAACTACTCTAGTAGGTACTGGGATGACGTTAAGGAATCTGTGATCTAGAGAACCAGGGACTAAATGTATAGATTTAAATGAATTTTTAACTCATCAGTATCTCTTGTCCCGACAAGTAACATTTTACCCTCTTCTAATCCATATTCTTTACTCTAGAAATATGAACTAAATCTGAATTATCCTTCTATAATTCACCATTAGTAGATTCTCCATGAGCCTGCTTACATGAAATGTATTGGTAAATCAAATATCTGAATGTGCTAGGAACATTGAGCCTTGGGTTCATAGTCCAGGTTTAGAAGTACTAGGTGGGGAGATAATCAGATTTTTCTTGAGTTTGAGTGAAATAAAAGGAAAATCCTAAATTCAAAAAAGTGGGACATTGTATAAAATTTGTTAGCAAGAATTCCATTAAGATAAAAAATTATATGTGTATATTTATATCTGATAGAGGGAAATAGTTGTTTTTCTATGTTCATGCTAGATAATCAATATCATATTTTGTGAACCAAAAATTGCACTACTGATATTTAAAAAATATAAAAATATTTTTCAGTATGCTCTAAACAACTTATAATGATTTCCCCATTTATATATATAAATGTATGATTTATATTGATATACATATGCCATTTGTTGATGTATTTAATTTTAAATGCTGCCAAACCAGAAACAAATACACTTATTTAAGTGATACTGGCACTTTTGAAAAAATTATGGTTTGACTAATATAACACATTTTTATATTCTATCCATTTATAAATATTGTTTTATATGGCATTTCTAGTACATACTGTATTGCAGACTGCTTTATGTTTACCTTCATTTAACTATAAGATATCACTGAGTAGATAGGTATCTTTTGGTGAGAGTTGAAAAATGGGGCACTATAAAGTTATATAAATTCAGTTTTAAACCATTAACTACAAATATTGATAATAAAGGTTATTAGAAATTTATATGGGTTCTGTATTTAGTTCAAGGCATGCATATTGTCCTTTCTTGAGATCTCAGTGATCACATAACACCTAGTGTCTCATAATTCCTGTTTCTTGGCCTCTCATCTTCTTTTTTGAAAAGTTCAGTTTATTCTCTTTTTATCTAAGTGTACACCTTGGAAAAATGGGCTCAGTAGTAAGCCACACATTAAAAAAAAAAACCTGTCATCTATTAAAGACACATATTTCCACTGGTTGCGAGGTCCTAATGATGCTATTACACATTGACTACATGTCTAGTTGTAATCACCTTCAAATAATTGTTTCTACACTTGATATAAAACCACTGGGAATTCCTCCTCACTTTTGGTTATGCACAATAAACCTGACCATGTCAAATTAATTACTACACTAGTTCCTGCTCAAAGTGATCAAGTTAATTGAAGGGCACACAGCACACATTATTTTCCTTGCTATATATTCCCAATGAACTCTCTTAATCTTTGTCTCACAACACAATATTAAGCATAAAATCCAAGAGGATGCAATATAAAAAGAGGAAATTTAATTTCCCTCAAAATATGTTTAAAGTCTGTAAGTATGTCTATATGTACTAATATTTCTAAATCTTTAAATCAAATTATATATGATAAGGTTGAAAAATAAATTATTGAAAACACTGTATATTAGTGCAAAATCGGTACATAAACACTTTAAGATTCAACAATTCTATTACTTGTCAAATACCCTGCAGAAATGAGTGTTTGTATCCACCAAAAGACATATATAAGAATATTCATGACTTCAGTTGTAATGCCTAAAACTAAACAAACCAAATAAATATCATCAATAAAATAACAACCAAATTGTGATACACTCATAAACCAATACTACCAAGAATAAATAAATAAATAAATAAATAAATAAATAAATATATGTTAATAACTGGCATGTATAGCAATATGAATGAATTTCACAGGCATGATGTTGAGCAAAAGTAGTCAAAAATAGAAAAATATGATTCTACTTAGATAGCTTTGTTAAAGCTAATCTCTAGCATT